CCTATGATACCCCCCAAGCGTTGCCATTAATAATTAATATTGTTAAGGCCTCAGGTGTTATTCCTCTGTACCATTATAAAACCATCTATTGAGTTTTTTTTTAAAGAATAAAGATAAAATTGGCTGCCACTTATACTAATGTACAATATATAATATTGATACACTAAAGGAGGAAGTGATTAAGATGAAGTCAGATTAGTTTTTTTTTATTGCTGATAATACGTGTAGAATAATAATGGACAAAGCAAATAAAACCATTTTATTTTGTTTGGATAAAAGGTCCCTCGTCTACGTAGATCATTTACATATCTTTGAAATTGGACAAATTCGTAACGATGCACACACAATAAATGCACAAAAAAGGAATATAGATTTTTACTAGAGACTACAGTATGGGCTTCTTCAAAAAGGGTATTAAAGATATTAAGGTCCCTGAAGAAACCTTAATAACCTGCAACAGGTAACACGTACGTGACAACCCTAGTGTTGCATGTGTCCATAGGCTAAAGTGACCCTTTACCATCAGACGGGATGTATGTTTGTTTACCACCATTGTGGTATAAAAAAGAATAACAGTTGCCAACATTTTCCTTTTTAAAATCGATTGACTTATTCTTAGAAGAAATTTAAAATTGAACATGATAAGGAAGCACTCCCAAATTATAACAAGCGTATTTCCCCATGACATTTACTGATTGTGCTCATTTATTTTAATAAAGCACTTATAATCTTGCAACAAAAATAAATTAGGACTTTGGCCCTGTAAATTACGAAAAAACTGAACTATGTCCGCTTAGTTAAATAACCACATGGCGATGTTTTCGCACGTGTAAAATAGTCAATGATTTTTAGGGTTCCGCACTAAAATGGTACGAATGTGTTCGAATTTGTCCATCTATCTGTTACAGCTTTATATCTCAGCGATTACTAATTTTATTTTTTATTTTTATTTACTTATTTTGGACAACTTGGATCCATTTTTGTTAGTAAGCGTACTTAAAAACTATGTTAATACTTTAATCACTAATAATGATCTAGTCCTCTCGTCGAGTATTTATTTATTCTAACGAGAGGACTATCTAATTTATTTACAAACATGTTCAGGATACTGTTGCCACTCCCGCATACCTATTCTACCTGAAAACGAAGTTGTTTTTTTACGCCAGACTGCTTCAAATGCTATCGATTTCAAATTTGGAATAGTTTTAGATATCGTGACTCTACCTCTCTTTAAAAAAACATATTATATAAAATTAAGTCTTTTTTTTTATTTATATCTAAATAACTCAGAGATTACAACGCATGTGTACATCAATTGCTTTGCCATTTCTAAATTATTGGGCATGGCATGGGTATCACTGTGTTTTCGTCTGATTAGACATAACCACTTTTCATCAGGACAGCCTAAGTTTTAGAAAAAACATACACGCCAGAAGTTAAAGTCGAGTAGATAACCTGCTTTGTTTTGAAGCTGATTAAAATTGTCTAATTATTGGATAACTCATTGTACATGAAACATTACATAGGAAATGTTTATTCTTCAATCCGTAGTATGAAATCATCTAATCGCAACGTTGGAGGAATCTCTTGGAAACAAATTTTACTTTGTTGCTAGTCAAAACTTTGGAAGCAAACAATTCTATTACAAGATTATCCTGTTTACATTATTTCATTTTAATGTGCTATTAAAAAGACGTGAATATATCACGCGACTGAGAAAATAATTTATTTTACCGTTAATATTTAATTTTATTACTCGACGCGTGTTTATGAAATATACTAAATTAATGGTACACAAATTATGAATGAGTCAATAAAACCAATTAACTAAAACAATAGTTTATTTAAAACTTTTTTTTTATTTTCTTTATATTTTTAGTGCCTATTCTAAAATATTTTTTTTAGAATAATTCTTTTATTGTATTCTTTTTTTTGTATTTAAATTTGGAACATGATATTTTTTTTTTAAATTCTAAATGTTGCATCTCATTATTAGATTATGCTCTGTTAGGTTTTATTATATCCTATTATTTTTTAAAACAATTACCGTTTCCATATTGTCCCTATGCTATAAATAATTAAGTTTATACTCTATGAATTTTTTTTCTCTTTTTTTTCTCTTTGTAATTTGTAAAATGATTGTAATTTGTAATCTGTATAATTTATTATTAATACGTATATATGTTGACATTTATATAATATGACGATATAAGTAAAATAGTATTACCATAGTATAGTAGCATAATTAAATAAATTTTGTACGCCAGATTCTGGTGAAAAATGTGAACAATATTTAAATATTATATACCATCCTTTATACCATTTTTTAAACAAAATAAAGCTATTTGTATTTTACATTTTTTAAAAATAACTAACAAATCCAGAATTATTGAGTAAAATATAAGTATATATAGATGTAGAAAAAACATGCCAATCAAAACCTCTTCTTTTAGGTAAATAAATAAAGAATGTAAATGAAAATCTAAGGACAGAACAAATTAAATAGATAAGACAGATGTCTCATGTATTTATCTCTGTATTCTTGTTTTAAACAAACAAACAAGCAGAATATTATGCTATATAAGTTGGGAACTCTAAAATGGTAAATGTATTGATAGGTAGTTTCATACATTGATTTAGATAGATCTGATCCAGATGCTATTTCTATGATTGATGATTTCATATTGCACTTAGACAATATTGCGAAAAATATATATTAAATGGCAAATATAATTTAATTACAGACTACACACAGGCGTTGCGTAGAAAAATGTCAAATTATGTCATTATAATGTGAAGATAAGGACTTGAACTAAAAAATTGTTTTAGCACAACACTTTTGTAATACAATGAACATCATCCATTTTGATTCTTATATTTATAAGCATTAAGTTCACATCGGTGTGACAAATTAGCGAGGCATTTGTCGTCTACATGCACTGTTTACATACAAAATTGTTTGCATTATGTTTATTGCATGCAATATTATCACATTGCTCGTGTTTATTACATTCTTCATATGATGTAACTAGTACAAAAAAAAATAGATAGAAAGTGGAAAAAATTGTCGCAAACTTGAAACTTGGCATAGTTATTTATTAGGTTAAGATGACTTCGTAAAAAAACTCCACCTAAGAAAGTGGGATCAAGTCAATAAACAACCATACCAGGTTTTAGATTTGCAGCAATTTTTTTTACATTTTTGCCTTATGTTACCGCTAGTTAATTGGCCTAAACAGCCCAAACTGTTCGAAATGTACATCAATATACTACAATTATCGGAGAATGATTATACAAAAGTCTGCTTAGATACCTTTTTTCTGCTGTAAAGCATGCCATGCATGACAGTGTTTCGGTTTGAGGTGCTATAGCAGTAGAATTCCAGGGTATGGAAAGGTAACGTAAAAGGTGTTTCATGGTTGTCACAGAATAATCTGTGATGCTCATACTGTTCTCCACACCATTAGGCGAACGTTACAACTTTTCATGAGGCGGACCGTTAGCTTGTTTGTCATTGTAAGCATTATAAATATATACATTTATATGTATTGGATTTGACTACATACTTATATGCTCAAAACAATGCTTTCCGTAACTAATCTAGTAGGTAGAGCTACGTATATGCTTTTTTCTTGATCTATGATAGACAGAACTGAATTAAAATCTATAAAGTAGCCGTTCTTCCATTTTTGATACGAACAGTCAAGAAAAAGCATATAATGTAATAAGTATAAAACAAGTTGAATGACATTTGATTGACTGATGATATTGATTTTTTTATAGACACGGGTCGGGGGTCTATTGCACGTAATTTTATCTGATTTATAAATCTTAGGAATGGCAACGCATGGGGGATATCATGGGCGAAACAGTATATTCTGTTATGTCCATGGTACTGCTCATGTCTATAGGCGACAGTTACCACTTTCCATCAGGTGGGCCGTCAGCTTGTTTGCCATTCTAAGTTCCACAAAAAAATCTTTTTAGCCGACTTCAAAAACAGGAGGACGATCTTATTTAGATGTATTTTTTTATAAACAGATTTAGAAAAACCTTTTTTTATCTGAAACGATATACAGTCAGCGGTTACCATTATAGATTTTTTTTACTGAATTAGGTATTATTTTGCGAAAGTCCATATCACTAGTTAGTGGTTTAGTATTATTTTGTTTAATTCCGCTACAATTATTATGTGTAATTACCATACATGCTTATCGTATTAACAGATCGGCGATACGAATAATAAACACTAGGCTCCGATTAGCGATCTATCAATTTGCCGAAGTTACCTCGTTTAGAGGTGAAACACGTGCCGCAAAATATGCGTGGATGGAATGGCGGTCGGGGATTGATGGCTAATATGAAAGGTTGTTCAATTTCTAGTAATAATAATACTAGTAATCCTTTAAATGTTCGCAATCGTATGCATACTAATGGTAGCGGAATTAAACTAAATAAGAATAATATTATCAACTAAGCAACTTATGGATAATATCGTCTTAGAAAAAAAAAATATAATTATTTGTGTTTATTTTAAAATGTATAATATATTTAAATATTACCTAATACTATTTTTAAAAAAAGTATTAAGAATGAATGTAGATGGCTATAAGAGCAGAGAAAGACCTAAAAAAACATGGATGGATGAAGACGTGAAAGACGATATGGCCAGAATGGAAGTGAATGCGGAAATGACTGGAGATAGAAAAGTATGGAAGAGGAAAACATTACGCCGACCTCAAATAATAATTGGGATAAGGGTAGGAAGATGATGATTACCTAATACAACTTAAAATAATATAATTCATATTATAATTAATATAACTTAATTATAATAATACCTAATTAGTACAATTATTTAAAAATTGTTAAAAATTATAAGGAAAACCATACTATTTAATTATCAATTGGCGACCTTTGTCATCTTGCAGCTTAACACACTGCTTCCCTATCAACGGTTGCGGGTTTGATTCCTGCACAGTATCAATAAAAAACCAATGTTGATATGCAATAATATTTATTATAATATAGAGCTTAGGTATTACTAGTTATGTTTAAAAGTTGTGAGAAGCTTGCGCGAATTAGGACGTATCAAATGTACAGTGGCTTATGTATTATTCATCTAAAAGTCTTTAGGTGTATATTGTTGCACTCTGTTATACCTATATAATCATTATTTATATAATTTTTAATAAATTAAATACAAAATATTTTAAGAGACAAAATACAAAGAGTTTACAATTGTTATTACATGAAATGTACATTATTATCTATTAACAATGTACATATATGTATACACATCACACACATACACATATATACATACATACATACATATTTATACTAAATATAATTATTACTAGATGTAATGTGCAACGATTGATTTTTTAAATAAAATAAATAGAAACAATTTAAAATATAATTACATTTAAATTATATTGAGTTGCACATTGCCCATCATATTGGGTGCATTTATATTATGAGGCATTAATAAGTAACTTAATTAAATTAATTTAAATTAAATTAATTATTGTGTAATAATAATGCAGTATATATGTCACTGTAAAAGCTCGTACATTGGTAAGTCTTTGGTTTTATATACTATATTATGTTTATTGAAAATTCTGCAAATTGGACTTACCAATAATATTGGTGCAATAAAGTGTTAAATAAATAAATAAATTTTACCAGTAAATCTTACGGTTTTCCAACATGAGTTAAAAATTTTATTTATTTATTAAACATAAGGAATATACGATAGAAGTACATTGGACCCCGCACTAGGCGAACTTGTATCGCGAGAGTCCATAAAGGGATTATCAAGACACAATGTTTCACAAGTATAGTCAATTTTACAAATTTTCAAATTCAAATCATTTATTGCACGAATATGGGTACATATATTAGATGAAAATATTATTTACATGTCCATTATTCCACATTCTACCATATCGGCATGTACAATATAAAATTAAAGTAATAATAACTTATAACAATAAAAACAATGTCAATAATAATAATAAAATGTAAAAATATCAATAAAAATAATTAAATTGTATGTCAAATAATTATTACAGAATTAAACATGACAAAAACGATATCATTATTTAGCAAAAAAGTAAAAATGTAAGAAATTTATAAAAAAAAAAACATATTTTTTGGCCTTTCATCAAATCTAACCTAACCTAACCTATTTTTTTGATTTCGAGTAGGTTTTCTAGTAACATAAAACCATATTGTCTTTGGCATTATACAAACACTCTATATTTTACTTTGGAGTATTCATTTATTTCCCTATTATTTTTACAATAACATATCTAACAGATATTTATATAATTAACTATTGTTTCCTATATATCTACAAGAACAACACACTGGTAAGCCATCTTTGACTTTAGCATTTTCGATTCCGCCATTTTGTGTGAATACCAAGAATTCGTATTCTATGTACGTTTCTTCACAGGACAATTTACTCAGGTCGGTTGCGCTGAAGTGGAGTGCATCGTCATCACTTGTCAGACGACCAGGGCGTCTGTGAGAAAAAAACGGAATTTATTTTTATATAGATAGAATTTATTTTAACAAATTGAGTATACAAAGTTTTCACAGTGATAACATTTTTATTACAAGTAGATTTTTTCCGCGAAAAAAAAAACCACAAGCGTGGCAAAATCAGTTAATTTGATTTAAAAATTGAACTAGCGAATTGATTTTAATAAAATTTCTATTCGACTGATATAAAAGCAATATCCTTTCAATTTATTATCCAATAAATTTATTAGATAAAAAAAAATCCAAATAATCTATAAATTCTGAGCCAATAAACTGTTCTGGAGTTCTGAGGTTATAAACAAAAAAAAAATACAATTGAATTGAGATTTTTTATGAACTTACTTTACTTTGGAGTAAGTTGACATATAAGTATAGAACAATAAAATTCTTGTTAGTTATTACTAATATTATAAAGATGAAAGCGAGTTCGTTTGTAATCTTTTAGAGTTTTAACAGCTCAAACAATCATCATGAAATGCGATATACAGACATTTTCCCATATATCTTTTTATCCCGGTCAGTAAACATTTCCCGGTAAAGTCAAGAATAGAAACTAATAAATAATGATAGAAGAACTCTTTTAAAAAAAAATTACTAAACAAATTTCACTAATAGTTAATTTTATTTTCAACTTTCGCATTGTTTATACTTATTTTAAATAATATAACCTTCAAGAAAAGAGGCATATTCCTTTTTAAAAGGCCGGCAGCACACCTGCAATGCCGTTGGTGTTGTGGGTGATCATGGGCGGGGGTAGTCATTTACCATCAGGTAAGCCGCGTACTCATTTGCCTCCGTGTTGAAAAAAAAATTTAAACACACACTCGGGGCTTAACGCGACGTAAAAACTTTTGCAGGTAAATAGTACCCACATGCCTACTTCTTTATTGTCGACGTTTCGACGTGGATTGCACTACGTCGTGAACACGATGTGGTGCAATGCTGTGTATTTTTGTACTCGTATGCTGTATATCCCGATTGTGTATTTAAAATTTCACTAAATTTAATATAATACTCACATGCATTCAATAATATTGATGAGTTGTTTCAATTTCTCTGCTTGTACAACATATCGAATATTTCCGGCCTCGTCTATTATTTCATATATGGGTTCGTTCTGAAATTTTATATACCTTTAATTTTTAGTATATGTACTATACATATATAATGTAAGTAAACCAAAGATAACTTTTAACTGACCATTATTTTTTTTAAAAACGAAATATAACACGACAATTTTTAATGTTGCAAGTAAATCGATAAAAAAATTTCCTAAGTGGAAATGGTTGTTCAATTTGAATTAAGAACAATTTTCTTTATGTAATATAAATTCGAGAATATGTTTAATAAATATGGCATCCAGTATCAATGATTTAGACATCAAATATATAATTCTCAGACATTACTCAGACTAATTGGTGACGATAAGCATCTTTATAAATCATTACACTCTGACTTCACCGTTCTATCAAATGTAAACTTTAAAAACAATTAAAGATTAAAACAGACTTCAATTGTAACAAAATCAGTAATTTTGATCTAAAAACTAAACTACTGAACCGATTTTGATAAAATTTCCATATTGGTTTAGAATTTACGAAGTTATGAGGTAACAAACATAAAAAAGAGATGCTACCAAATTGACAATTTCCTTTATTTTGAAGTCGGTTAAAAAATGGGGCAAAATAAAGTTTATCCGCTCAACTAGTGGTATGATATAATCTTAGATTATATAGATAGAGCATCAAGCTACATAAATGGGTCAACTTTTTGTTAGCTAATTATCAAATTAGCTGGCTGACACGTTTTTTTTTATTAATATTCTATATACTTACGCACACAATATATCTTGATGTATCTATATTCAATTATTTAATAAATAAATTGGATTTTTTGCGCATTACAAAGCTGCAGAATATATAAGACAAAATAAATTTAGGAGTTATAAAGGAATCACTCATAATTATTTATGACGCAAAACTGTATGAAAAAGTTGACCCGCTTTTTCGAAGCATTTATATGGAGACACTCTATCTATATAATCTAAGGATATAACAAACATAATCTCGTTGGAGTGAGAAAAAGAGGTACTTACGTGTGAATCTAATTCGCAATCAGAATTTTCACTGCTACAAAAGCCTATGCGTTGTTTAAAGTATGCACTATGTACAGTGATGTTCTGAAAAGATTGAAACTTTTATTATATTATTTATTAATAATATGTAATAATATGTTATGTTATATGTTATGTCCATGGTACTGCTCATGTCTATAGGCGACGGTTACCACTTTCCATCAGGTGGGTCCTCAACTTGTTTGCCATTCTAAGTGGTATAAAAACAAAATTTGCTAGACAATCACACCAATCGCCTAGTCCTCAAGTTGGAATACTCTGTGCTGTGAGGAATCAAGTGACGAATGTTTGGGAGCTCTACTCCCATCATCATATCATCGTATCAGCTGTTAACTGTCCACTAGTGGACATAGGCCTTCGCCAAAAGTGGGGGTTTGACAGTAGTTGCCAGGCTTGGCGGACAAGTTGGCAACCGTAGTTGGACTTTTGATGATTTTTTTTTTTTTTTTTACAACACAGGGGCCAAACGATATGCGGCTCACCTGATGGTAACACTACCGCCGCCCATGATCACCCACAACACCAGCGGCATTGCAGGTGTGCTGCCGGCCTTTTAAAAAGGAATATACTCCTTGAAGGTTATGTTGTCGTATCGGTTCGGAAATACTGCTGCTGGAAGTTGATTCCAAAGAATGGTGTGTAAGAAAGTGTCGCAGTAAAAGACCGCCACTCGTTAAAAAAGGGACACCAGCCCATCCCGCGACTATAAAGTAGTCGCTCCTCGATACCCACGGTAAGGATCCTGTTTATATGTCATTAAATAAAGACCAGACGGCATAGTAGCATGGTGCTGTTTATCCATATTCCACTAGTATACTATTAGATAGATAGATAGATAATTTATTTGCATTACTTACAGCACACAAATAACAATACAAACATACACACAATACAGACATACACAGTAAAAGAGATGAAAGAATTTTGGTAGCGATAAATAATTAAATTTTTTAGTTATTAAGCAAATAAAGTAGGTACTTACGAAATCGTTCACTATGCTATTTATTACATCTGCAGAAGGATATTCATCACTCTTGTCGAAGCAATAATTCCTCTGGCAATTTTCTGGCATAGTTGCTGTAACATAATGGAATAAAATAAATGACGTAATTGAATAATGAAAGTAACTTGTAATATATTCATATTTTTTATTTATATTTTTAAGATCTTTTGTTTTTTCTTTCCCTCTCTCTCTCTCTCTTTCTTGTGTTTGTTTTGTTATCGTGCAATAATTGTATATATATATTATAAATTAGTAAAATTATAAATAGGAAAGTTTGGTAAAATGTCTCAATATTTAATGATTGAATAATTGTTGTTCAAGCGGATGATTTGAATGACATTAAGTACACAGAAAGAGGAATATACAGAGATATAAAATAGGTATTTTTTATCCTAACTCACAAAAATGAAATTAATTATTTTAAAGAATATTATACCATTTTTGTAGACGTAGCTCTTAGGTCTACCGTGAACTGAGACAGCAACTAACAATACGATCTGAAAAAAAAATATTAGGTACTTCATTACCACAGATTTACTGGAATCGGAATGAATTCATGAGAGAAGCTATTTTATACTATTATTATTATCGTTGACATACAGGTAACTACACATTGTATACCTTTTCATATTTCTTTTTATTTTGTATTTTATATTTCACTGTTTCTTTTAAATATTTAAGAAATAACATGGTGGTGTCAGAATTGACCAAAAAATAGAATAAGTACGTCCATTTTAACAAAAGTTTATAAATATAAAAAAAAATAGACTTTTATTGAAATAAAAATTAAATGATATTTATTTATAAAGTGCGAAGTCGAGAAGGGTCTCTAGTAAAATACAAAATAAAAAAAAATATATATAAAAAAAAAATATACACTTTGTGGCTGCCAGTACGTCAGCAAAAAATAATATTTATTATTATTATTATTATTTCAGCCCTTAACTGTCCACTGCTGAACATAAGCTTCCCCCATAAGAGGAGTTTTGCTAGTAATTACCTTGGCAGGCGGGTTGGCAACCGCAATTAGGCTTTTATAAATGTTTTAAGAGGGACGCTGCGGAATTGATGACCGAATTGATTGTTGTTAAATGAAAACGATGATGTTTGACTTATAAATTTGATATTTTAAAGATACTTCAATTTAAATATTATTTTTAATTATTATTTTATTTTTTATTTATTTATTTATTCATTAGTACAAATATGTGTACATGGCGGACTTAATGCTAAAAGCATTCTCTCCCAGTCAACCATAGGGAAGTGTCAGAATACTCGAATGCGGTACTACTAATTATTAATATACATACATAGTAAAATTACATATATAAACGAATAAATATATATATGAATAACAAATATAGTTACACATATATGATACATACTATATTATGCACGAAATTAAGAATAATATAAAGCACTTACTGCTCGGATAAAGATAAAAAGTGAGAGTGAACGCTTTTTTTGAAAGACGGTTTAGTCGGTAGTCTCTTAATGGCATCAGGAAGCGCGTTCCAGAGTCGTGAAGAATGTAGGAGAAAAGCGTTTGAAGCGTAACCAGTACGGTGAGAGGGGAAAGATAATTGGAGAGTATTATTGGAACGAAGGTTACGTTCGCGAGTTACAAAAAGATACTGGAATTTACTCCTTAAATAGTTAGGAGACTGGGGTTTCGAAGAAGAGTGTTTTCACTACGATCATTATGTAGTATTAGTTTATGTTGTATAATAATTTTGTTATAGGGTTATGGAAGATCCTATGGGAATAGGAAAGGATAGTTTGGACGCGGCGTAAATCTCTCTGGCACATGTAGGTACACTTAAAATGATAAAACTTACATATAATACGATTAGTTCACGAGACATCTTGATCGATTCCACTGATTCGTCACTTTACGAAGTCCCAATTTATATTAAATTTAATAATTTATTGCAACAACAAACTCGAGCACGCTTTGTACTTTATAATTGTATAATGACGTCAGCTCAACCCACCACAATATATATATACGATTTTACAATAAATTTATTATTGCAGTAGGTACAAATTACCTGATATATGTTTTCAGGATGACACTTAATTGGTTTTTATTATTTGCGTAACATTTCGTCACAGATTATTTTATTTCCTTAGCAACATATTATATTGTATAATAAATTTACATAATAACCACAGCTTTTGTAATAGAGTAGAAATAATGATGGATTTAAATAAATAAATAAAAATGAATTGATAATTACGTTGTAAATTGTAATTGTTTAATAAAAATAAAGCGTAATAATTTAAATATTCATTACGAATTATCAATTATTATTTTATTATCTACATACGAGTATATTAAATACTTAATATTTTATATTGCTGTGTGGTTTGTGCATAGGATAGGCCACCCCTTCCTTTCCCGTGCGTGTCGTAAGATGCGACTAAGGGAATTTAATGATCCAGGGATGGGCACCAACAACCAACTCTTAAAATATCATCAAAACCTAATTGCGGTTGCCAATCCGCCTGCCAAGCGTAGAAACTACTGGTAAAATCCTCCAAGGGGAAGGCCAATGTTCAGCAGTGGACAGTAAGACTGATAACTTAATAATTCAACTACTAAAATAAGTTATTTTGTTGCGCGCAATATATTCTTATTTATTCATTAACGACTTTTTAAATATCTCATCATCATCATCATATCAGCTTTTAACTGTCCACTGCAGAACTTAACCAAGGAGATTTTTGCTAGTAACAACTACTAGCGTGGCTACTGCCAAGCATGGCAGTTGCCACGCTTGGCAGTAGCCACGCTTGGCAGCCCCCTATATGATGATGATAATGATAATGACTCCAATGTTATTCTATAAATAAACAAATATTTTTTTTGTGCAACTTAGAATGCCAAACAAGCTGACGACCCACCTGATGGTAAGTGGTAACCGTCGCCTATAGACATGAGCAGTACCATGGACATAACAGAGTATACTGTTTCGCCCCTCATGCGTTGCTATTCTTGAGGACTCGGGTATTATTCTTCTTCGGGTATTATACTCTGTAAATTCACTGTTCAATAAATAAAAATACAATAATAAATACATGTCTTATTATGAATGAAAATACTATGGTAAACCCAACAACGCTATTGGTTTCCATTTGAGAGTTGTACGTCAAATCAGTCAGTTGATTCATGTTTCGTTGATTCGTTTCATCAGGAATTTACGGTGATTATTTCAGGGACTTGACTGGGTGTTTTGGTAACACTGGGGCTATTTATTTTATTTTATTTATTTATTCTTTATTGCACAATAAAATTTTGTACAAATGGCGAGCTTAATATGGCATTCTCTACCAGCTAACCATTGGGTAAAAACAGAAAGCATATGAAGGGCAGATGTAGTGAAGAATATGTGACAATTATAGTAACACATTAAGGCAATACACAATATAAATATAATATACACATAAGAAATGCACATATAATACATAAACATTACTTTTAATATATATAATTTAATTTATCCCTGTTACCATACTAGGTCTTATAATGTGCTCGTAAACATATTTTTAATTTAATTGAACATACGTAAATTTTCACTGTGTATCATGTTTTAACAGAGATTTAAGAGTATATATCCATCTTCCATGAACATGTAAAATCTTATTCGAAAATATTTAAAAAGGTCCCAATTATTATTTAAAATAAAAGGGGTCGACGGAAAAGTAATATGTTTTTATTATGTATATTACAAAAAGATTTGGTTTTTAGTTTTACGACACAGGCTCTAAAATCTTCCCCGTCTGCTGCTGAAACTTTACTAACAGACAATGTTAGCAAGTCATCAGCTGTATTTAACTTTAGACATACATCATCAGTAGAAATAATGAAAATATTCAAACAGCTTAATAATAAAAAAACAGAGGATCTATGGGGTATATCTGTTAAAATACTGGATAGTATAATGGAAATTATTGCGCCCTCTCTTGCTTTTATTTTCAATAAATGTATAGATGAAGGTAAATTTCGTAATGAAAATTAGTAAAATCATACCGCTTTTTAAATCTGGAGATAGGAGTGACCCAATAAATTATAGACCTATATCCATACTCCCAGCACTCAGTAAAATTTTTGAAAAAATAATCCTTATGCAACTTGTCAGTTATCCAAATAGGTTTTTCGTTCAACTACAGACGCAGGTTGGGAATGCATTTGTTGGTGGTTTTAAGAGATTAAAGAGAATTAAAAAGATTTAAGGTTTTAACAGAGATTTAAGAGTAACTGTTGAATTTACATCTTATGCCATGCAGGATAGATGCTAGTATTGTTTGCTTTCATTATTTTTACAGATTGACTAATAATTATGACATGTAAATAGTGCCTTTCGAATTCTCCATCTAAAAGTAGATTAAAAAATGAAATCACGATATAAAAGTGCTTGTAAACATGGATATAACTGTGTTATGTGTAAACTAAAAGCCTGAATATGATGTGTTGGAGTTTTTAGAAGTAATCGTATCTGTGGACGAAGTGATTTGTCTCTTGAATATTATAAATAATAATAATATTTACCATATAACGCTCGTAGAGATAACAAGAAGTGGAGGGATTATGCAAGATATTGTAAACAAGCGTCAGTATATGGACATTTAATCGAAAACGTAAGGGTAAACATTTAAATTCTATTAGATATTTAGAAACATGGCCAAATTTACGTAAACCATTAACAAAGTGAATACATAAATCTTGTATTATAAATAATAATAATATTTACCATATAACGACTTTTAAATAATAACTCTATTAGATATTTAGGTTTATCAAACAAAATATAAATCTTGTAAACTTTTATCTGCATAATCCATAAGAGGAAATAATAATGTTTGGGCTAAATTGGCCTTTGTTTTTATAGGTAAACAATTTTGTAGACGCCTGAGTGAGTGAACAGTTGCAAGTTCTTTTTTACTTATCTGGTTTATGTAAGAGGTATTTTTGTCAAAAAGTATGTCCAGATTTTAACGACAATTGCGTAAGATATTATTGTTCCCTTATATACCACAGGTGGGATAGTCATACTGTCTAATAAAAAAGTCATGTATCTGCTTTCCATAATAATAACTTGTGATTTTGTTTGATTCACTAATAAATCATTATGTTTCATTCATACTAAATCAACCATAATAAATCCATTAATATTTACCAGACCATGATTATTCAAGTCTACAGCAGTACCGATATCATAAATGTCAAAAACACCGTACAGCTGCAAGTCATCAGCGCAAAAATGGAAGTGGATGACAAATGTTCTGATAAGGATTTAATGAAAATAGAAAAGAGAAATGGAGACAAATCGCCACCCTGTAGAATGCCGGCGACAAGAGCACACCAGTCGGAGTTGGTTTCCCCTGACCGAACACACTGCATACGTCTTACAAGATAAGAATGAAACCATGCTATTACCAGTGGAAATATATTAAGTGAGTCAAGGATACGAGAAGAATATCAAAATGTATTGAATTAAAGGCACTACTAAAATCGCGTAAAGTGAGAATACATAGCTGTTTCCTATCCTTAGCGAAACTAATATCCTCAGTAACTTTTAATAGTGCAGTGACAATACTATGAGCTGTACAAAAACTAGACTAAAAGAGCAAGAAGTTCACTTTTAAAAGAGATAAGATGACGGTATATAGGTTTTTTTTTATACAACTTAGAATGGCAAACAAGCTGACGGCCCACCTGATGGAAAGTGGTAACCGTCGCCTAAAGATATGAGCAGTACCATGGACATAACAGGGTATACTGTTTCGCCCATGATACCCCCCATGTGTTGCCATTCCTGAGGATTCAGGTGTTATTCCTCTGTACCCAGTAAATTCACGCCATATCCCACCCTTCAAATCGAAACACAGTCATGCAAACACAGCTGCTTCACGGTTGAAACACGAATGGGACAGAGGTACCCAAGCAATCAACTTTTGTACAAAGTCTCCCTCTGGTAATGGATTCGAAGAGGGACGTGAGATTATCGGTTTTAGTAAGAGGAAGGACATTTTTTTTGTCTAGCAGCAGGGAACGAACCTTTTATAGTCAGAGAATAATTTAAAATGTAAGAAAGGACTGGTGCAAGCTCATCTAAGAGGAGACGATTTATTTATTTTAGAATATATATATATTCCATTATGATTAATCGACCTGTGTCCTAAATAAAAACATCAGGCATATTTAATCATCATCATATCAGCCGTTAACTGTACACTGTTGAACTTAGGCTTCCCCCATGAGGGGGTTTTGCCAACAATTGCCACGCTTGGCAGGCGGCTTGGCTTGGTTTAATTACTAATGTTGACTAAGCCCATCAGAGGTCCGGGACGGCAAAGTTGAATGCGGACCCGAGTTTAAGGCGTTGATGTAATTTCATATTTATGTGTATGTTTATGTTTTATTTAGTTAAAATCTTGAATATTAAGTGAAATTTGAATTAGACTTATGTATTCTATGTATTTTTATATAGAATATGGATATGGATGAGGAAAATGGTAACATATGAAAGCCCCGGGACGCGCTGTCCTTCCCCCCTCAATCCCCTAGTCCACCAGTGATAATACTAATAAAAATTTAAGGTAACCACCGTGGATATATCCAAGTCGCGGTTAACCGGACTTTGAACTTAATGTGTTCAGTTTAGTAACTTTGTGTTCCATTTAAGTACGGAAAATCCGACCGTAAACTCTTGCGCATTCGTGAATACGCGAGAGGATACGGATACGGTTAAATAACTTACAGCACCTTAATGCAACGGTCAAGTGATGAAATCATTAAGATGTTTATTAGCGGTAAAATGTATTAGGCAAATTACGAAAATTAATTAAGTAAGAGGTGTATGCATGTAAACAAGCGATATACCTATAATCTTTATTGGTAATTTGTTTACCTCTTCCGTTAAGAACTAAGCATGTTATTGTATACAATTAGTAAACATATTTTAGTATTGTTGGAAAAATATTTCTTGAAGGGTTAATATTTTTAGGCTGGATCCTAAAGTCACTCATCATGTTGGTTGGATTTTTAATGAATGTAAATGAAATGGTAACCCCGCCTGCGCTATCGGTATACACTGGCGGGGCACCAGTGAGAGTTAATAGGTGAGGACGTAAAGGCAGGTCAGTAAGCCCATCTTGACGAATTCAATGTTGGTTGGATTTGTGTGCGGTTGTTTCTAAGCCATCACCGTTACTTCTAAAATGACGAATAGTTCAAATTGGAAGTCTGTACATCAGTGGCGGACTAAGCCAGCCATAGGCCCGGGGCGGCAAAGTCGAATGAAGCCCCCAGCTTAAGCAATTCGATGGAATTTTATACCATTATTTATCAGTACACATTTGTGTTTATAAGTGTTTATGTTTATTTAGTTCAAATCTTGCAAGTGAAATTTAAATTAGACAAATAAACATACATAGAATATACATGTGTATGAGAAAAATGGAGGCAATTGGAGCCCCCTCAGGACCAGTGGTCCGGGCGACTCGCCCTCTTCAATCCCCCATTAGTTCGGTACTGCTGTACATTTAGACTTGAGGTTCATTTTAGATTCCTTAAGTTAGCTTTTACTGTTCGAGTATCACAAGGGGTTTGTCTTAGATTTTGCTACCGTCTGTTAAAAGTTCCTGCTATTGGTATCTGTTTCCAATATATCATAGACATTATTTATTTTTTTACCTGGGTGAAACGTATTAAGGAAGCAAATTATTTTTTGAGTTCATTGTCCGCTAACGCCGAATCTTAATTTCCTTATTATGAAGAATTAATTACTTACTACTTCGGCTGCCTCCAAATATCGCCTCTAGCTGTATTAACAAGCTTTTTTATCAATTACTAAGGAAGTGGCCGAGTCATAGGAACCAATCTAAACCGACAAATATAAAATTAACTTATGTACAATTTTTCTAGCATCGATCAACCTGGGCCGTACTCAGTTAGCTACTCAATCCGCCACGGAATTTTATATCCTGATACGAAATACATTTAAATTCAGAATTCCGTTTGTTCCAAATAACGCCACGATAACACCTGATGTTATGCGATAATACACAATCGCCGGAGCGGGGATTTGAAGCTTAAATAAAAGAAAACACCACCGTCGCCGGTGAGAGTGACAGTGCAATAGCTAAAGACGCACGCACCGTCCGCGCTGTAGAAAGCCGCTGCAAAATTCGTTGGACACGTAGTGAGACCGCGTTTTGGGACGGGAACCTGTCGATATATGTGTTGTCGATAGTGAGAAAGTAGTTGTGTTGTGTCAGTGCAAGTGTTAAGTGACTTTCGCTCTTACTGTTCGTGCAGGATGAATATACGCAACATGAAGGTGGGTGCAGTTCATCATATAAGCATAAATTATATTTAAACTAATAAATAATAATAAAATATGATTCAAGTTTTTTTTTTATTCTTTAAGAAATTTGCTAATATTTTTTAGCATATAGATATTAATATATTTAAGTAGTAATACCTAAATAAAACAACTTTCACTTATTAATATAAACAAACATATAAAGACATGATCAAAGCTCACGGAAGTAACTTTTAAAATCTATTTAAAAAAATGTAAAAGAAGACTATTTATATGCTAAGTTGCTTTTTTATTTGCAGTAAAACTGTTGAAATTCACTTTTACAATTGCTTATATACTTTTACTACATTAAATTTATGTAACTATTTATCTATTAATAAGACTATTATATAAGTATTTAATAAATAACTAAGGACTGTGTCTCACAAAAAAAAAAACAACTTCAATGTGTCAAAACCAGGTATTTTGATCTAAAAACTAAACTATTGATTTTCATAAAATCTTTATAGGACCAATCTGTAAGTATTGCTTTTTAGATAAAAAAAAGAATTATCCAAATCGGTTTATATCTGTCGGAATTTAGAAGTAACAAATATAAAAAAAATGAGAACCTCCTTCTTTTTGAAAAACTAAAAGATGTGTTGAGCTTTTGGTACTATGAATTTTGTTAGGTTATTAACATTAAATAATACTGCAAACTAGATATCCAAGTATAATAGAACTTAATATATACTTTTTTAATATCAGGTAAACAAATTTAGTTAAATATAATAAAGTTTATACCATCCATGTATAATTAATGTATAGGTAATTATTGACATCATTATATATATATATATATATATATATATATATATATATATATATATATATATATATATATATTATATATATATATATATTTATTTTCGTTAAATTAACCAGATTAGGCCAAACTACATATTTTGACCTAATCTGATAGTTTCTATTCTTTATATTATAAATATGAAACTGAAGTTCGTTTATTATTTATAAATTATATATATTTTATATAATAGGATGACATAATTTTTGATTTAAATTAAATAATATATAGTCTTTACATTTTGTAAACAAATATTCCTTATACAATATCATTATGTCTATTACATAAGATGGTTATTTCTATACATATATAATTATTGCACGATGAAAATAAAAGCAAGTTTCACTAAAGAACAATGCAACACATAAAACGGTGTGAATTAATTGTAAAAAAGTTAAGCGAGAAATGATTTTAATGACTGTGCATTGTAAGCAGAAGATATGCATTTTTATCAATGTATCAATAGTATTACTTTAATTTATAGATTTCATATTTTTAACATGAATATTTAATTGTATAAATAATATTTTTATAATATCTACATATATACGATGGCGTCATAGCCGCTCCACATCAAAGGTCCCGAATGGTCCCGAAACTAGTCGAGCTTTCTCGACTATATTACATTTAAGTTAAATGAGTAGTTATTATATTCAAATATCTAAATAGATATTACATTTATTTTTATTATTAGATTCTAGTGATTACCTATTTATTAATGCTGTTAAGTTTCTAAACTAAACAAAATATTTTACAAGTTTTAACATGTACAGTGAAGAGAAAAGTTTCTACAGCATCAGAAATTATTGTTGAAAATAGTAAGTTAAATTATTCTACAAATAGAAATTTATATGGATTTTAGATGGCATATGATTGAAATGTGTATTTTTCAAATCTGTTTTAAAATTTTTAAATGTCATGTAAAATATATTTCTCAATACATTGTTAAGAATTAGTTCTCCTTTTCAATAACAATTGAACATTAGTCGCGGTACTTAAGTAAAACGGGCAACGTTTTTGTTAAAAGCTCTACAGACCTTGCAATATTTAAACACTAAGCAGTTACTTCAAGACATTATCTCGTAAATGTAATACTAGAGTCTCTAAGTGTAATAAGCACTATATCCATATCATTGCTAATGTTCCTTATTATCATACTAAATTGATTATTATATATATATATATATATATATAAATTTTATTTTTAATTATACGTTATGATATGAAAAATTATTGTTATTTAATTACGCGTAAATTGCTGAAAAGATTTGCATAAAACAATTATGATACATACATAAAATTTTCCATAACTCTAACTGGAAGCGAACAAACTAATGGGATATTAAAGTTAGTACGTATAAAAATAAAAATATCTAATAACGGTTGTTCTAATGTACGAATATATAATCATATATTATTCGATTCTACTGATGTTATAAAATTACGAGTATTAATATTGATGACAGTTTTTGTCAGTCAAGCTTAAATACGAGTAACTAATTGGATTTAAATAAAACTTGTTATAAACTATAGTTAATACTGGATTACACGAATTAATTTACCCAAGACAAGCCAGGATTTGTAGTCAGTATTTTATAATATATATCCTTCATTCACTATACCCATTAAATTTCATATCTTATAAATTGTACAAATGCAAAATTTTGTTAAAATAAATGGATTAATGTCTATTATTTCTTCACGTAAAAACTACAGAATGGATTTAAATGAAATTTGGTAGACGGGTGCATATAGCATACTATATTCAAGCGGTCGAAATCGCTTAACTATTCTTAATTAAATAAATAGTCCAGCATATGTTATGTAGTCATATCTGCTTACAAACTAAGTAAAGCTTGTACATATAATAAATTCTAGGCAACTAATACACTTAAATATATTTTTACTACTATTTAGAATACATAAAAAAAGGCAATAGTAGTAATAAAAAGAGAATACAAACATTTGTGTGAATGGATGTTTTGTGTTAATCCCATACATCATCAAGTCACAAAAATATACGGGTATAACATCTTATACATATATACCCATTTAATGGCACATTTGGCGTCACTAGTTCCACATTACAAAAATCTAAAAAAATAACGTTTTATATTAACTACCTAATAAGCGTCTATCTCGAGCTTAGTAGCCCCATTGCTAGCAATACACCTTGTCAGATCAACCTCCTCGCGGTTCCCCCTGGAAACTATTGTGTTCTATTCCAAACGAATATGTTACGATAGGCTAACTGACCGGCCTTTTCATTCTCACCTGTCATCTCTCACTGGTGCCTTGCCAGCGTATACCGTTAGCGCAGGCAAGGTTACCATTCCATTAACATCCACAAAAAAAATCAACATTTTAACATATGTCATTCCCCATAAACTGCCCTGGTATTTGTATTTTACCATGAGAATGGGAGGGGGCTGGCAACCGCAATTAGGCTTTGGTAGTGTTGTAAGCGGGACGCTATTACCTATCCCTCGACCATTACGTTCCCTTGCCATAATTATCAAGTATATAATTTTAAATGATACTTTCAAATTTAGCAATTTTAGTACCTACATATATAATAAATTATCAAAAATAATATTTCGCATTTACTGCCTAATACTGTAATTATCTTATACTTGTTAATTAGTGTTTACTTAACCAATATATAATATTTATGTGTTAATGAAGATAATTTCATGTTAAGAAACTTTACCAACATACAGTTTTATTACAATCTAAAGTGCCCTCTTCCTGACCATTCACATAGGTATTATAATCAAATATGCAAAATTTTATATCTTTTTAATATGTCACTATTACGAAGTAACAATCTATTGTAACTAAATATTAAAAAAAATACAAATTATTAAAATAAATTACTATTCAGCGTGGAAATGCAGCAAGTCTCTTAGGTACCCTACAGCTGGTAGTGATCTCAAAGATTTTTTTTATCTTTAACTATTTAAATATGGAATATATTTAAAAAGTTAAATATAAAAAATTGTAAACGTTTCTATTTTTTTATTGCTTTCTTGTTTTTTTTTATTCTAATTAATTATTAAATAAACTTTACATGGATAAACAGCATTAGACTTTTTTTTTTAATATTTTTTTCTGAAAAAATTTAATTCTCTAAATAAATTACCTTAACTATCTAATGCATTCAATTTTAATCATAAATGAAGATTCTCACGAATATCTTTTCTAAGTTGTCTCCATTTGTATTTAATATCTTTAAGCGTGCCGTGACCAGGAGAGAGCGTTGTGGCACTCGTCGCCCAGTGGTATATACCGCAAAGATCATGAGTTGTAATTTGAATCAGGCTAAGAACAAATAGTTTGTGTTTTAATCTAATAATTCAAATATTTCTTTAGCAATAAAAATACTGATAACAAAACAAATTAATCCGAGTAATAGCAATACACTCATCAACTATTACGTTGGATTCTAATATACACGGCAAAATATGAGCATGTCGAATGTCTGTTCATCATAATGACAATAGTTGACTACCACGTTGCGGATTATAGTCGTGAGCATTTCTTTTATTTTCTGAATTAGGTGTTATCTTGTGGAAGTTCATATCACTTCTTATTTGAATAGAATTATTTTGTTTAATTTTGCTACTATTAGTAAATTCCAAGTTCCACAACTTCTAGTAGTAAGAATGATGATATCAGCTGTTACTGTCCACTGTTAAACATAGGTCTCTCCCTATTTTCCCACTATTTTTGGGGTTTTACCACTACGGGCGGATTGGCAAACGTAGTTAGGCTTTGGTGATGTTTTAAGAAGAACGCTGCTGTCCCACTTGTGTCCCTGTAATGTTGGCAGTTACACGCATACTAATGGTACCGGAATTAAATAAAACTCCTATTCTAATAACCATTTCTTTTATTTATTGGCAGAAGATCGCGACAACGTAATTCTTGGCAATTGTCATTATTAATCATTCAACGTGCCGCCTTCGTTTGACATACAAAACCTGACAATTGACACACATACCATCCTACTGTTCTCGTTGAACCTGTATCGTTACATTTTGTTACAGCATGGCCGTTGACACGACCGGCAACAACGTAATACAACAATCGAAAGTGAATCCGTTTTGCTTTCTGAATACCACCGTATGTCTAAATTATAAACATTTGACGTATCTATTGACATTGCCGT